CCGGGAGCCGTTCCCCTCCCCCCGGAAGCTAGCAGCCAGCGCTGGCCGCCAGGTAGGGCCCCAAAACAGAACAGAAAGGAAAGAATTAATCAATTTGCTGAAGGTAAAGGCTGAGTCACCAGAGGCCAGGCGAGGGGGTTCCCTTGCAGCCGCTGACCCTGGCCCCTCCCTGGCACCAGCAGCTGGCCCAGAGCACAGGTCCTCGGGTAGCCCCTGAGCACTGCTAGGGGGCGGGAGGGGCACACACACCCCCCAAACAACAGAGGGGAGAAACGGAAACACACAGTAACTGGAAAGAAAAGTCAACAGCTCACGTCCGCAGGGTGCCAAGGTGGCTTCGAACCACCAACACCCTCTCCTTGGTTGCAGTTTCTTTGCTTGGTTTTTTCCTAGCAAGCAGAGAAGTCCACGTTCTCTCTTAGACATCTACCTCATCTCTCTCCCCTCGCGTCTCTGTAAGTCTCATTCGGCCGAAACCACCATGCTTCGCGCAGACACGCAAAAAAACTACCAGGGTGGGAAGAGGAGGCGCCGGGGCGCGTGGAGGGAAGAAACCTGGCCCCCTGGGCAGCGTGCTGCAATGAGGCCAGCCTGGGACGGGGCATTCGCAGAACTGTGCAATAAAATGGCCTTTAAAAATTATCAAGGGGCAGTCAAATACTCTACCCCTGAGCTGTACCCCCAAGCATAGCTGGAGAGATAGCACAGCAGGTAGGGCGTTTGCCCTGAACGTGGCCGGCCTCGGTTCGTTTCCCAGCATCCCATAGGGTCCCCTGAGCACCGCCAGGAGTAACTCCTGAGTATAGAGCCAGGAAAACACACACACACACACACACACACACACACACACACAAAAATTCTCAAGGGTGGAGGAATAGCATAGCACTGGGGGAAGGCCCCTGCCTGCTCACAGCTAAGCCAGCAAGGCCAGGCGGGGCCCCAAATAGAAACAAACGAACTGGGCAAACAGGGGGGGCTATACTGCTGCTGGGTGGGGCATCCCAGTGTCCCAAGCACCACCAAGATTAATTTGGAGTGCAGAGTCAGGAGTAAGCCCTGAGCAGTGGGCGTGACCCAAGAAACCAAAAACTAACAAACAAACGAAACAAAGTATCTGATCAGGCAGAACTTTCCCCAGGGCTTCCCCCCCCCCCCCCCCCAACACACACACACACCGGACCACAGAGCTCCAGGGGGCTGAACAGCCTGGGCTTCCCGTCCAGGAAAATCAGGGTCCCGGGGGACCCGCCAACCCTAACTCCAAGGGGGCTAAGGACACACAAGGCCCAGTGGAGATGCGCCTGCAAACTGGAAAATAACATGCATTTGTGCATCAGGGGAAAGGGAGCAGGAGGGCAGAGTGATGTGTGTTGTCACCCCAAAAAACATCGCAGAACCGAGATAGAAAAGAAACACGCTTTGGGGTCGGGGCGGGTAGGGCACTTGAATTTGCAGGTGGCTAACCCAGAGAGAGTCTATCCCCAGCACCCCAAACGGTTCTCTGCGTCGTCCACCGGGAGTGATGTGAGTGCACAGAGCCAGGAGTCAGCCCTGAGCGCACGCGCACACACACAACTCAACATTGAAAAATGAAGGATGAAGGGATGGAACAGGGAGGGCATTTGCCTTGCACCCGGGTTGGATCCCCCGCACCCCCAGGAGAAATTCCTGAGTGCAGAGCCAGGAGCAACCCCTGTGCATCGCTGGGTGGGACCCAAAAAGCAAAAGTAAATAGAAATAAAACTAATGGGCAGGAACAACAGCACTGCAGACAGGGCACCTGCCTTTGCCGCGGCCAGCGCGGGTTCCCTCCCCAGAGCCCCACTTGGGCCCCCGAGCCGGCTACGCGTGATCCTTGAGCACGGAGTCAGGAGTCACCCCTGAACACTTGGGTATTACAAAAACACCGTGGAGCCAGATAATACAATAGGCAGGGCAGTGCCTTGATGCAGCGGGATCTGATCCCCAGCATTTTGTAAGGTCCCCAGAGCCCACCCCGGGGGCAGTAATTCCTGAGCACAGAACCAGGAGTAATCGAGCATTGCTGGGGTGTGAACAATAAATAAATAAATAAATAAATAAAATTTCTTTTAAAATAAACTAAAGTGTTTGGGGTTTCTGGGCGGCCCCTGGCAGCTCGGGGCTTGCTCAGGAACCAGATGGGCGGGGGTCCCCACAGGCAGGCAAGCACCTCATGGGCGGGTTCTCCCTCGGGTCCCGGACAACTTTGTGGTTGACAGGAAAAGGCATCTGAGAGCACAAGGGGGCGTAGGTGCTGGCACTGCGAAGGGCCCCCAAACAAACAGAACAAGAAAATCATGACCAAGTTTACACACTAAAAACCAGAAAGTCGGGGCAAGAGCGACAGAACAGCGGGAAGGGCACTGGCCTTGCACCTCGCGGACCCGGGTTCAATCGCCTGCATCCCACATGGTTCCCCAAACACCACCAGGAGTGATTCCTGAGGCAGGAAGAACTCTGAGCATCACCAGATGCGTCTCAAAACAATAAATAAGTAAACAGCAATAAGCTAACTATAAGGTTGGAAACTGGACTAGAAATATCGGATTCTCGGTCTGGGCAGCCTCGTGAGGAAGGTGGAAAGGGCCACAGGAAGCCACAAGGTCAAGTTCAAGAACCTGCAGGGCAGGCCAGAGCGGCAGGACCAGCAGGCGGCACATTCCCAGCTCCGGCATGGTCAAGCCTCCAGAATGATCCCTGAGCCCGGGCGGGCGTAAGCCCTGGTGCCAGCGGGTGTGGCCCCAAAACAAACACCCAACAACAACAACAAGAAAGGAAAGAACTACCTCGGAGCCCAGGAGAGGAAGCAGCCCTGGGAGCAGGTCTCCAAACAAATTAAAATATTTCAGGCCCACAGATCTCTTGTTGAAAGATAAAAAGCGAGCGTGACTCTCAAACCATCCTCCTGTCTCTCCAGCAGTGAGCTCGACCTCCTGCAGCGGGCCGGGGGCCGGTTCGCACTCCCCGGGGACGGGCCTAGTCTTTCTACAGCAATCCTGGGCGAGGTGGTTGTCTAATAACAGTAATTGCCCCCTGAAAAGAAAAGTGGTTCCGGGTATGAAGAGTTTTATTCAAAAAGGGTCAAGGCTAATGCCTCGGAAACCCTATCCCCGCCGCTGCCTGCTGCTCCGCGCCCCCCACGGCAGAGCCAGGAAAGGGCATTCCCCAGGGGTCCCAGGCACAACAGACCCTCCGCTCCACGGGCTGCCAGGGAACAGGGCTGAAGCCGGCTGCGTCCCAGGACTGGACAAAGGTAGATCCCGCTTCCCCCCTGACATGTATACAACAGAAAGGCCCGTTTACACACACACACACACACGCACACACGCACGCATGCACACACACACATGCACCTACATTCTAAAGTCTGTCTTTTAAGATCAGCGACTGCAACATATTTAACGCCTGGCAGTAAACATAAAATTAAAGCAGTACTAGTTAATATAAACCAGAAACCCTTGGGTCTTTGCGTTTCTAAACACGACAAATGACAAAAGGATCTATTACTATACAACAGCTAGGCGTTTAATTCACACTGAGAGAATAACTGGCAGCACACGTATGTTCTATAATCAAAGACAAATATGCAAATCTACCTTTTGTGTGGTCTGGGGGCCACACCTGGCCGTGCTCGGGGCTTACTCCTGGCTCTGAGCTCAAGGATCACACCTGGAAGTTCTGGGACACCATCCGGGGTGCCCGGGATCAGCCCTGACAAGGCAAACTCCCAACCTGCTGTACTGCATCACTCTCAGGCCCAAAATACACCCATTTGAAAACATGTATCGTTACTGCTTGTGGCAGAGGGTCCCGATTTTGAGGTCGTGGGTGACTCCTTGCAAGCCCAGGGAAAAGCAGCCTTTTGTAAACTCCAGTAGCCCTGCCAGTTCCCCGCGGCTACCCGGGGCCTCTCTCCACACACCCTAACGCGGCGGCCGGCCTTGGCAGGGAAGGCCCCTGGCTCACATCAGCCCTGGACAGTTTTCTAAAGCGAGCGGAGAGTCATTCCCTTCCAACAGGCACCTAATTTCCAAAACATAAGAGCTCCGAAACGACCAAAGTCCCCAAAGGCTAGAACTCCCTGAGAGGAACCCTGTCGCCCCGTTGTTCCCCAGTCTGGAAAGAGAAAACTCTGAAATGCAAACGGCAAACATTTAACCAAGCGGGGCAGCCTCGGAAGATGCAAACTGCCCGAGGGAAGGAGGGCCCGTGGCCCCAGCGGCCTCCCAGGGGAAGTGTGTGTGCGCGCGCGCGTGTGGGAGCGCCTGGACACGCGTGTGAGCCGGCATAAGTGTGTGTGAGTGTGAGCCTGCGTGCGAGTGTGCGCACGTGTGGCTGTGCCTGCGTGTGCACACGTGTGTGTCCGTGCGCCGAGTGTCCACGTCTGCATGACGGTCTGTGCAGCACGTGGGCCTGCGGGAGCGTGTAAGTTTCTGGGTGTGCAGGCGGGACGCGTGTCAGCGTGCCTGCGTGCGGGTGAGTGTGCACGCGTGTGTCTGGCCGTGAGCGTCCGACACCCTGGCGCAGGGGCGAGCGTGTACGCGTGTGTGCGCGCGTGTGTGCGGGCGTGCGCGTGCCAGCGTGCCGGGCGTGCGGCTGACACATCGGCATGTGTGGGTGAGCGGCGAGCGAGCGAGCGGTGTGACAGGCGACAAAGTTCTCCGTCCCGGCCGGGGCAACTTGCGGGCCGGGCCGCCAACTCCGCCGTCCCGCGCGGGCCACGGGGCCCCGGGGCGGCGGGCGGGGGCGAGCGGGGGGAGCGCCGGGACCGACCCCGGGAGCCCCCCCGCCCCCCGCGAGCCGCCCGGGACCCCCGCGGCGGAGGCGGCGGCGGCGGCGGGGGCGGCGGGCGGGGCGCGCGCGCGCACGCGGGGCGGCGCGGGGCGGCGGGGCGGCGGGGCCCGGGGCCGGCGGCGGGCCGGGCGGCGGGCGCGGGGCGGCCGGGAAGTCGGGGCGGCGGGCGGTCGGGGCCGACTTACTTCCTGCGGGCGCGCGGGCCCGGCGCGGCGCCATCTTTGCGCGGCCGGCCCCGCGGCCTTTTGTCTGCGGCGGGGCTGGGCGCCGGGCGCGGCTCCTCGGGCGGCGGCTCGGCGCGGGGCTCCTCCGACGACATGGCGCTCCGCGGCCCGGGCGCGGGCGCGGGCGCGGGCGGCGCCGGGCGGGCAGCGGCGGTGGCGGCCGGCGGCCTCAGCCTCGCGCATCTCCCGCGGCGCCGGGCGCGGCGGCGGCGGCGGCGGCGGGGCCCGGGGGCGGCGGGCGGCGGGCCGGACGCGCTCTCGCTCGCATGGGCGCGGGCGGCGGGCGCGCGCGGGGCGGCGCGGGGCCCGGCGGGGGGCGGCGGGGCGGGGCGGGGCGGCGGGCGGGCGGGCGGGCGCGCGGGCGCGGGCGCGGGCGCGGGCGGAGGCGGCGGCGGCGGCGGGGCGGGGCGCGCGCCGGGGCGGGGCCGCCCCCCGCCCCCCGCGCCCCGCGCCCCGCCCCGGCGCGCGCCCCGCCCCGCCCCCGCGCCGGGCGGCCGCCGAGTTTTGACAGCTGCGCGGGCGGAGCGCGCCGGGCGCCGGCGGGGGCCCCCGAGCCCGCGGGACGCCCCCCGGGGCACCCACGGCCCTCGCGCGCGCGCGCACCGAGACGCGCGCACACACGCACGCGCGCGCGCTCCGCGGCCCCCCCCCCCCGCTCCCGGGCCGGCCCGCGCATGCGCCGCCGCCGCCGCCGCCGCCGCTGACCTCACCGCCCCTCCCCCGCCCCCGCCCGGCCGCCGCTCGGCTCCGGCTCCGGCTCCGGCTCCGCCTCGGAGAGCGCCAAGCCGCGGAGCGCGCGGTCCGGGATCGGGATCCGGGTCGGGCTCGCGCTCGGGCTCCGGCTCGGGACGGCGGCAGCGCCGGCTCTGGTCTCCGCCCGCTCCCCGCGGACCCCCTCGGAACCGTGTGGCCCTCGTCGCGCGGAATCGCGACGCCTCCGTCTCCGAAGCCCAGTCTTGGGAACCCCCCGAGATGGAGCTGTGCCCGGGGGGGGGTGTCGGTCCCCAGCGCCCCCCGCCCGCGGCCGGGGATCCCTCCCCCGGGCAGCGGGTCGGGCGCTGGCCACGGCCCGGCAGCCTGCGGCGAGCCCTCAGCCCCCGGGCACCGCCGGAGTGGCCCAGCCCCCACCCCAAATAATGACAATACACTTCCAAAGAAATGAGCTTCGGGGAAGCACTTTAATTCCGCGGGGCTTCGTCCCCTGCTGCCTTCCCCCAAGTTGCTCGATTCCCAGCCGTGGGGGACCGAGGCTGGAGAGAGCCGGCTCGGTCCACGCAGACCGTCAGTTTCCAGTAACTCTGCAGGAATGCAGCACCTCGGTCGGTCGGTCGGTCGGTCGGTGCCTGCTCATTCTCCTCCCCGCCGTGCCCGGATCGGCCAGGTTCTCCACACGCGGGGCCTCTCGCTGGACACATCTATTATTTACAGTAATAAGCTGGGAGGGGGGGGAAGGTCTATTTATGGCTTAACCAAGCACAAATATGAAAACCTGCCGCCCTCCCCTGTTCTGCGCGTCACACCTCCAAGCATTACATTCGTGATCCAGATGTTTAACTGTGTCCGGCCATGTCCAGCTGTGCATTTCCTATGTACCGCTGTGAAGGGTGCCCAGGGGGGTCCCCCGCCTGGGCACTGGGAGTCGGGTTTCAGGAGGTGCAAACTGCAAGTCACTCCCGCTGGACCGAAGTTTTCAAGGAAATAAGGAGGCACAGAGAAGAGAACGCCAGGGAGAAGCATGGAGGAGAGAAAAAGGAGTTTGAACATGATGCAGGAAGACCCAGTGTGAGGAAGGGCGGCGAGCCCACCAGGAATCTCTGCACCTGGCTGGCTCGCTGTGAGGTAGGCAGGTTGCTGGAATATACTTTTATTTTTTAGAATCTCTTTGGTTTGGGGGCCACACCTGGGGGTGCTCAAGGATCACGCCTGTTCTGGGCGCAGGGGACCATCTGCTGGCCCCGGGTCGGTGTTGTGCCAGGCAAGTGCCTCAGCCTCTGTACTATTTCCAGTCCCTGGTACCTATTTCGGAAGGACCGGTAGTTGACTAGCCAGCATGGTTACCGTGGGCACGACAAATTAAATTATGGCCCAGATGAGAGGAAGGATTGAAGGCAGACTCGACATAAAAATTCCCAGAGGTTTTTCTGTTTCCATCATTCTCATGACACAGTTCTGAGGCTCACTGGACATGCAGTGGTGGAAGTTGTGCACGACAGACACAGGTCGATCTCGGAGAGGCTGAGGCCAGGGTTGCAGCCCAGGCGCTCACAGGCAATGCATGTTTCACCACAGAACATCCTCCCAGCCCCATATTTGTTTGTGGTGCTACAGACCAAACCCAGGACCCCAGGCATGAGACGTATGTTCTCCTCCAAGGACCCACCTGTCGACTTTCAGTGACTCACACCTGAAGTGGACAGTGTCACGGGGTAACGCTGCTCCAGTTAAAAAGAGGGGGTGGGCAGAATGATAGTACAGCGGGAAGGGCGCTTGCCTTGCCCACAGCCAACCTATTTCGATTCCTAGCACCCTTGAGCCCCACCAGAAGTGACCCTGAGCACCAGCCCAAGAGCAAGTTCTGAGCACCACCACCCAGCATGAGCCAAAAACCTAAAAAAAGGGGGGGGGGGCGGAGAGAAAGTACAATAGGTAAAGTACTTGTCTGGCATATTCCCACCCTCCCACCCAGCACCCCACATGGTCCCCCAAGTCCCACTAGGAATGAGCCCTAAGCACAGCCAGGGATGGCCCCAAAACCAAAACTAAAGACTTATTTACTTTTTTTTTCCTTTTGGGCTCACACCCATCAATGCACACCTGGCTCTGCACTCAGGAATTACTCCTGGCGGTGCTCGGGGGACCACCTGAGATGCTGGGAATCCAACCTGAGTTGGCCAGGTGCAAAGCAAACGCCCTCCCTGCTGTGCTACTGCTCCAATCCTGAATTGTTTACTTTTGACCAGCAGGATAGGTCGGCTTTGTATGTGGAGCCCCAGGTCCAAGCACCACCTCCTCACTGTCCCACCCCAGCGCCGCCAGGAGTGACCCCTGACCATTGCTGTGTGGCTCCCAACCCATAAAAATTAAATTAAATAATTTAAGTTACACAGCTATGAAACCAAATTAGGAGGCAGGTAATTGAGGTTCCTCAAAATTTTAAAATCAGAAACGTTTAAGTATCTGGAATGACAAATCAGACACAAACAATAAAGGAGAAAAAAAAAACAAAAAAAAACACTTCATCCCCTCTGGAAAAGCCCACATTCTCTTTTGAACACGTACCTTGAACACGTTCTCTCTTGAACACATATTTTTACTATTAAAGTTGCACACAAACAGTTTTAGTCACATGCACCAGAGAGACAGTATAGTGGGTGCAGAGTTTGCGTTGCACGAAGTGGCTGACCCGGGCTCCATCTCCGGCATCCCACATGGCCCTCTGAGTCGACCAGGAGTAATTCCTGAGCTCAGAGCCAGGAGGACCCTCTGGACATCTCCAGGTGTGGCCCAAAACCAAATTAAATAAAATTTAATCTCTTTCCCTTCATTTCTCTTGATTTTTTCAATAAAAACTATTTTGTTTCACTAAAAAAAAAAAATTGCTACCTACTTCCTAAGTCTACCTATTAAACAGGCATTTCCGACCCCTGACAGGCAACTCACAAAGGGTTAAGGGCAGTTCCACGGGAAGGGCTGGACTCTGAGGAACTTTCACTTTCTGTATCACCTTTTTTCTGTAACATTTGAACGTTTCAAGACCATGTGTCGTGTAATCAGAAATACACATAAAATGCGTTCGGCGGGGGAGGGAGGTTATCTGCCTTTACAAAGCAAAAGCATCAGCTCGTGAAAACGTGAGCAAAGAAGATTCTTCGAGAGTCTGGCAAGTGGGGGGTGTGGGGGAGAGTCAGGGGGAGCAGGGGCAGCGGGCCAGTGGAGAAAGCCTGTGAGGCAGGGCCTGCCTTGATCTGGCTTGGATCCTGGTTCTATTTCTTCTCTGGAAAAGAGAAACCCACGTGTTTGCTTTTAACACGGAACCTTTGTAAGGCTATGAAGAACTCGAGGCTCAGTCTGCACTGTTACTGGGGGCAGGGTTGCCGCCACACCTGGTGGTGCTCAGGGACTACTCCCAGCTCTGTGCTCAGGGGATAGCTCCTAGCAGTGCTCAAAAGACCAGATGCAGTGCTGGGAATCAGACCCAGGTCGGCTCTTTGCAAGGCCAGCGTCTTGATTACTTCGCAGTACAGAAAGGATCGCTCAAAAACAAATTCGAGATCCTACCATTTTTCTGTGCATGATTTTAAAGTCGCACACAAGATAGTTTTAGCGGGGCTGGAGCAATAGCACAGCAGGTAGGGCATCTGCCTTGCACGCAGCCAACCTAGGTTCGATTCCCAGCATCCCATATGGTCCCCTGAGCACCGCCAGGAGTAATTCTGAGTGCAAGAACCAGGAGTAACTCCTGTGCATCGCCGGGTGTGACCCAAAAAGAAAAAAAAAAATAGTTATAGCTACATGGGGCCAAAGAGATAGTATAGTGACCCCCAGCACTACATGTGGCCAACCCAGGTTCCAACCCCGGCATCCCGTTTGGTCCTCTGAACCCACCAGGAGTAATTCCTGAGCTCAGAGCCAGGAGTAACCCCTGGGCATCTCTGAGTGTGGCCCCAAACCAAAATAAGTAAAATTTAAAAGAAAGCAAGAAAGAAAGAGAGAGAAAGAAAGAAAAAAGGAAGGAAGGAAAGAAAAAGAAAGCAGCTATTTGAGCCTTCAGTCATCTCCCAACACACACACAAAAAAAAAAATGTGTGGAAAATTGTGTATGTGTGTGTGTCTTCAGGGCCCTCTCACTGGACAGTGTCCCTTGCCCTGAAAAAATATATCACTTGTGGGAGCCAGGGAGATAGGTCAGTGGCTGAGCACATGCTCTGCCTGCAGAAGACTCAGGTTCAATCCCCGGCACCTTAAGATCCCCCCAAGCTCCACCAGGAGAGGCCCCTGGACACAGTCAGGAATAGTCTCTGAACACCACTGAGTGTGGCCTAAAGATAAAACAAAATTTCAATTACTTAAAACTCAAATTTAGGGGGCTGGAGTGATAGCACAGCGGGGAGGGCG